TGCTGGAGATAACCCCAGCCTAGGGAAACCAAGAGACCCCGGCTTACAAAAATGTGCAAAACACCAACAGATCCTCAGTGGCATTCAGTCTGTAATCCCAGCAAGGTAATGAGATTTATAGAAGCTAATTCCTAAGAGTTTTACGCTGTGAAAACATGCTCAATTTTAATGTTTGTCAACGTGTGTGAATACAGCTTATCATTTGTTTATAGCACAAACCTTGACCTAAACTTGTGTAGATACACATAATTAACATGTCATAAACAATTTGATCTCCCAAAAGTTTACTTTGAGGCCTACTTCACTCCTTCCCAGAACATTAAAAGAATTAAATCTGCATAGTCATACAAACTAATAGTTGATGAAATTTCAAACTCCAGATGTTCAAAATTCTTGTAGCATTTGACCTCCTACATACTGCACATGACAATTGTTTATGTTCATCATGAATTCTTTCTGTATCTGAATTATCTGAATTGTTACCTAAATTATTATTATTTTCTCTGAACTATAAGGGTCTGGACCCAGCTGTTAGCAGAGGGCAGATGTGATATACCTAAGGCAAATTCCGAGCTGACAGTTTTTACTTTTTCAGTATCAGGTAAATTCTTGCACTGGCAAAGGATCACTTCACCTTATAAGTCCTTTAATCAGAAAGCATTTATCTCACTGGTGAGAGTTATGACAATCAAAATATAGTCAGAACGAGCAAATATTAGATTTTCAATTAATCAAAAGTCTATTACTAATGCTTGCCTGTTCTTTAAGGAAAGATGTTTGTTTTATATGAAGATACATACCCCTGGTGATTTCAGACTTCGGAAAAATTACATGGAATGAAAGGCTGCTCTTTGCCCTTAAATTTGAAAGAAGTGATCCTAATTTCTGAACTTATACTGTGGCTTTTAGTATTTGCTATATAGTAGTATCTACCTACCATTTTGTTTTATGACACCTCTGTCAAATAGATGTTTTAAAAAAGGAAAGAAAAGAGAGAGACAATGTTTTGGGAAAAAAAACCTCTGATCCATAATCCTGATGTGATTTCCTCAGGTCTTTCTAGAAAGAATCCTGCAGTAGCATCCCAGACTTCACGTTAAATTACAGCAGAAAATACTCTTTGCTCATAACATCCCACAAAACTCCAATAAAAGTGCTATTACATGGATCACCAGTATCATGAACACTGTAACAAAATGCATGTGAAAATATTCACTCTGTAAATAAGTTCAAGCATAAAATCCAAGAGCAAATACTCAGGCTAATGGATAACAAAGACTTCATCAGTCTCAGATATTAAACTGCAAAGTATACAATGCTGCAAGAAAGCAAAACTTACTGGCATATCAACCCAGAACACTAGTGGGAAGAGCATAGCCCCAAGGGAGGGGCACATCTCATACAGAAAATAACATGACAAAGTCCATAAAACAAGTTTAAATAGATCTTAATGCCAAGCCACAGTGCAAAACCAGTGCATTTATTGTCTATAAATGACAAGGTCAGATATAAATCCGTGACTGAAATCTGCAAGTAGCCTAACATTGTGCGCCTGCGACCATTCACTCTACGGAGCAGCATTGATGCAGCGGGGCAGGAAGGGCACGAGAAGGGCGACTCTCCAGCTCACCCCGCTGTCCCTCCCAGCAGACTCGCGTCTGGTTGAAATTTCATGCCAAAAGAGCTTTACAGTGATGCTCAGAAAGGGAGAACAAGATTAAAAAGGACATAAAGAAGGGGGCAGGGAGCTATAGATGTTTTAAGAGAAAGCCAGCAGGGTATAGAGATACAGGAGGATAAAACCCTTGTGCAAAAGAAAAGATGGGCTGTTCAAAAGGAAAGCATGAACTGGCAGTGATGAGCACTGAATATCACAAACAGATGAAGGCAAATGCAGGCAAAAGTGCAACTGCTTTAGGATTTTATTTTTATAGTCATATTGTTAAGGAAAATGGCTTTCAAAGCAGAGTACTTCATGACTAGCATGTTCATCTGTCTTTAACAAGGATGTATAAAGACAACATCAGTAACATACAGGAAACCCTAAATGTCACTGTAAAATCTTTACTGAAGAAGAAGAGTTCAAACTGCCAGTTACAGATCCTGAACCAAACTTATCAAAGTTCAGAATACCAGTACTTCTGAATGTTTCTCATTAGAAGTGTTTTTAAGAGTAGAAAAAAATGCTCTAAGTGCTATCAGTAATGCCAAGGATAGTAAGAATTAATGTGTGCAAGTTGTAATGGATTCTCAAACCCAGAAACATCTCTTTTCTACCAGAAAACATTCACGACATTTGACATGATTCACCTGAAATCAGTCTACTGACATTTATGAAGCAGTCATTTCAAATTCCCCATTTCTAGCCATATTAGGTCTTTCCATCATGAAAGAACTGACTGATTAAAATTCAAAGATGGCAAACAGAAAGCAAGGTTACTTATGGAAGTGGAAGGAGCAGACACTCCATGAAACTGCCTGGCTTGCTGCCAGGCAGAGATCTAAATCCAGTCTAGAGACACAGAGAAGAATCAGAGTGACTTTAAATTTTGCAGAGCATTTCTTTGCTTCTGTTGAAACCTATGAAATATTAATGTCAATTCATTACACATCAATGCATTTGTATACTCCCCTGTTATCAAATGTCCAAGTGAAAACAGTCTGTTCTGAATAATTTACTCCTGAATCATCAGGCAGCTTTCTTCTACAAATCCAGGAGATGTCTGCTATTCATCAGATCACATCTATGACTGACAACCTTTTAGAAAATATGTTCTCTCTGTTAAGTTTCAGAAAGGTACCAGCGTACATGTAATTTGATGTGCTACAAAATTTGATATTTAGAACAGATATAAATGTGCCAACAATAAAGTAAAAATACATATAAAGGCTAAAAAACATAATGGTTTTAAGTTTGCAGGCTGGATCCAGCATGCAAGAACAACTCGTTTGAACCTCCAAGAGTAAAGTCTCTGTGACCATCTTTCCAGGAGGTCCCCAAACACATGTGGGAAGAGGCTGAGGGCTGGACGAACTGTTCTGGCACCCACTTGGTGCTGGTTCAGTCCTGGGGTTCCTCCAAATTCCCTGCCTCAGCCCATCATGTAAGCACGCTGCAAACTGCTTCAGCCAAAAGCTTCGCAACTTTGCAGAAAACGTATTTAAACCGAAGCTAAAGACTACATGAAACCACTGTGCCTTCAAATAAATGCCAATTTTAACTCAAGCAGTGACAATCCTAATTACTCCATGATTATTTCTGTAAGTGCCAGTCTAATACCCTTATTTGCACCAACAGTCAGACTTGTGACAACTCACTGCTGTCCTCAGCAAAGGAGACAAAAGTTATGTCTGATGGCAGTTCAAAAAATACATTCACAAAACCACTTCCCTTTGAAATATGAAGCTGCATTGCTAAAATAATTCATTCTGGTTTTCTTGTGAGGCTCTTCCCTAAGAGAAATTACAGTGTCTGACAAACAACTACTCTTCCTTCCATGTTCACATCCCCTTTCTCTCTCTGCACAGGGTGGAAGAAATATAAATGTACTTGCTGATTGATGTTACCGTAATAATCCATTACCAGGAAAAAAACAATTTCAAAACAAGAGTCACTAACTACATAATTCCCTCATTAAATACAACAGTATTTCTGAGTTCAGGATTTTTTTTTTTTTTTTATGATCACGGGTATTTTTCCCATTTGTTCACTAATGTACTCATTCTAATGTACTCATGGTAGCCTTTTTTTTAAAAAACATTTTCCATTTGTTGCTAATGGAATATGATTATTTCCAATCTCAAGATCGCGAGCAGAAACCTCCACTTTTTGAGGCTAGGAAAAAACCTAAATACACACCCCATTATTGTACTGGTCACTGCAGAGATACATGAGTGGAAGGCAGAGGGTCAGCACTTAGGAAGGATAAGCTTTCAAAGACTGAGAGGAAAAGTGGACTAACAGAGTAAGTTCAACAATATATACGGTTTCAGTATATACCAATTACCTGTACTTTCATTCTGGCCTTGGTGTAGCAACACAGTTTCAGTTCAATCATTCAGTCTGCATAAGTATATTCCAGGTGTGCATGTATATACATATATATATGTGTGTGTGTGTATAATTTGGGGTTTTTTTGGTATACCTAATCCAGGTACTCTTTGCTATAAGCTACTAAAATATTACAAAATCCAAACAAACATACTAAATGTTAATTATTGACATCAAACCCCCAAAATTAGCTCATGGTATGATGTGCAGTATCTACTGCTAAGAAATGAGGTTTTAAGATTTGCTAACACATTGCAAAGGAAAAAGGTATCAAATTGAAACACATTTCCTGTCAGAAAGACAGAAAAATTGAAGATGGGAAGCTGTGCTTTTAGTTGTACATTTGTATGAATTATAAAGATTAAAAATAAATGCAGTGTTCAGCACTGACAGAGTTATATCTCTCTTTCACGCAGATAAGATCAGATTGCACTAGGTGACTAGTAATAAAGACGTACTTATAACATGAAAACAGGTGCTATGTAAAATAAAGAAGAGACATTCCCCTCCTTTGTCCGAAAATGTAAGGGACGCTTGATCATCATAATTTGTGAACTTTATTCTTTTTCAGCTTCTACTTTGCAGGTATTACCTAATTTTAGTATTTGATTTAAGAAAAAGCCTAATCGACTCTGCAGCGCATGTAATACAAACACAATTTTAATATAAGTGCTAGTATGGCTGATTTTAATTTCTACATCCTCAGGTTTTCCAAGCTTAATGTAAAGACAGCTCTCAGCACATATATGAAGATATAACATAAGCAAAAATTGCATTCAACACCCAGAATGTACCTTTGTGTCCAAAGATGGACCATAAATTCAGGTACGTTAAGGGCCCAGTAGTTAAAAATACACTGATTTGATTTCGATGCAGTGAATTCAGCAATAAGTAAAATAGCACATACTCAGCTAAATCAGATTTATATATTTTGCAGAAGAAAGCTTACCTGCCCATTTTTCCCCAGTTCCATTTCAACTATTGCAACAGGAGTATTTATCTGATCAATGTGTCTTGACTGTGACTTCAAATCCACTCGCCAGTTCATGTTTTTCAAGACATTCTCCCAACAGCTTTGATTGATCAGGCTTTCGTGGATCTTTATTCGGTGGTTCTTCCAAAATTTTGCAATGACTGCAGCTTGATCGGATGTGATGCCACCTTGTTTTTTGGTCTGGGCAGTGAGAAAAGCCTCCAGCTGATTCAAATCCATATCTGCTGAAGCAATTTTGGAAAATAAAAGGAGTAAAAGGGAAAAGCTTGCTCAGAAATACTCATTAACACTCTACCAAAAGGTGACATCTTTAGGGTTTTACAACTATCGTATTTTAAAGGGATAGTGCAAACAAATCTGGGCTATGGAAATAACCTGACAACTTCCATTAAAACCAATTTGCAAGTGACTACCACTTATCTCAGATTCCCGTCCTTGGACGGCTGGAAAAGTCATGGATTGGTAACAGTGACAAGGAAACCGGGAGCACCTCTGGGAATGCAGTACTGGTACAGGATGACAAGGAGGCTCCTCACAATCTGCCTGGCCCTTTCCCACAGCACACCCTAGGCACACCCAACTGGTCACTGCTGGGAACACTGGGTCAGGCATGATACTGCTGTTCTGATGGGCTATTAAACAGGAAAGCAGGGGCAAACATGGCACGCTCCCGGCAAAAGCTGAAACAAGTGAGGAGACATCCCAGCTCATTGCAACATCCACAGCTTCATTCACCACCTCCGCACCGCAGACAAGGAAGCGAAACTGGTAAACGCTGCACCAGCCAAGCAGGGTGGGCAGCACTGGCCACAGCAGCGTGCTGGCCACAGCAGGAAAAGCACAAGTCTTCAAGGGAGGGCGTGAAGCAGTCCTTAAAAATGCAGCTGCAGCTTCCTGCAGCTTCTTCTGAAGTTCCAGTGGATTCTATCAGACTAAACGCTGTATTCATCTTTTGCAAGGAGGTGTAAGGGATCATCTACTCCTCCTCCCTGCACAACAACAGAAACTATTCTTCCCAAGCCCCTTTTTAAATAGATACCCTGTTTTTCCACCTATTTTTCCAAAGCTGATCATCCTACAGCCTCAAATTTGTATTGCCTAACTGTCAATGGTTGCTAAATAACTCTGTGTCCCTTCATGGGAGGTAGAGAGAAGAAACTGTGGCTGTTTCCCCACCATAGTTGCAAGCAGACACTTTTGCTTCATTCTCACCCAAAATGGACACAGCTTATCCTAAATGAACATGCCACCTCCAAGCATGCTCCAGTATGGGGCGCAGCAAGGTGAAGTCTGGCCAACACTGCTGTACTCCATGCATTCAGGGAAATATTGATCTCGCTCTCATTAACCAGGGTGGTGACACTGTGTGCTTCACATTACTTGTCTGCAATATTGGGTATCGCTTATCTAAAAACTGTGCTCTGTGAGCTTGCCAAGGACGCAAGACCTGCTGCTTCTCCCCATTTCATCAGCGATGAACCAAAATTGTCAGCAGGGTAAGCTACCAACAGGCTTTGCCACCTTCCTCTAGACTAGACTGATGTAAAACTACATGACCTTAGTCACATCAGGGAGTGGCCTGAAATAAAATGGCAGGTAAAAAAACCCCACAAGAACTAGCCCAAAACAAAGAGCTTGCGCATCACACAAGCGATAGAGAATAGTGGCAGGTTTCCCGCTTTGAACAAAGTAAAGCCAACATCATGACGTGCTCAACCTTCAGCAGATACACCACCACATCCTCCTTATCCCGAGTTTTTTTCCATGTGAAAAGCAAACCAGAAACAACCCTCCCAAAAAATCCCAACAATCTTGTGATCTATAATGGTTACGCTGCCTTTTATCATTCAGTGTATAAAATCTTTCTCCTGCAACTTTTATAGGTGTTTTTTTTTTAATGTTTGTCTTTGGTGTTGTGTTGTTTTTTTCTTTTTTTAAGAGGGGATGTGCTGCCTTCCCTCGCTCTCACAATGGATTATCTGCCATCTGTTACACAATCGAGAAAAGAAATGGCAATCCACTCTAGACATAACTGCTCGGCTGTATCAGAGTTCCAGCTTAATAGGAGCATCTGTCAATTTACTATAAAATTTGAGATGCTGTACACCATTCTGTCTTTTCTATGGAGCATTCACCATATCTGTAGATATTGTTTGCTTTTATCATGAAGATATTTAACTTAAGATCTGTAGTTAACTGTAATATCTAATTAACCTCTAAGTGAAAAAAAGCACTTATTTTCATTTTCAAAAGCTATTCAGACTTACAGTCCTTTCCTATATCCACATCTTAAATCAACAGGACTGTCTATTAGCAACAGTGTGAAATATTCTTAGGGGTTTCTTTTAACCTCACCCCCTTCACAGAACCTCTTTTTGCAAGATGCAGCAAGATACCTGGCAGTGCTTTGCTAAGCTGATAAAACTCACACACACACAAAGTTCCTCATGGTGCTTGACACATGATACAAATCTAAGTATATCCAAAAGAGGAAGCTTATGACCAAGCTTGCAGTTTTAAGTGTAAGGAAGGCAAAACAGTATTTATTATTAGGGCTTATACAGGACAGTTAAACTTGCATGTTTGTCAAAGATCATCAACAGATTGACCATTAGTTAAAATCCAGCGCGAGCTGCATTTAAAACCTCTGTACGTTCATGTACTATAAGCACCCTGATATAGTTTGCTCCCAAAATACTATCACATAAAACAGAGGAAGGAAACCATGTATCAAAATTAACAATCATTTCTCTCTCACACACAGACAGGTGTGCACATGTACACACAATATGGCTCGCTTAATACTGTAAATGTACACAGCTAAGAAAGCAAAGATAACAAACAGATTGTATTTCAGTGGAATATTTATCAGATCATGCTTTAATAATATACCGATATAGACCATCATTCAGACTAGAATCTCTCTCAGCTTGGAAATACAACTACTACTAAAAAACTCCTTTCAAAAAAAAAAAGAACATGAATTTTAAGTGGAAGTGGGGACAATCAGTGAGTTATACTTCAGTACAGATGCACAAAGATATTAATGAAAACATATTTTAATTGAAATTCTGCAACAAAACCCACCAGCTATGAAGGTTTTCAAGTCACATTAGAACAGCAACTCATTTTAATATTTTTTTTCATCTTAACTTGGAAACATTACATTGTGGACAGGAAAGCTGTTACAAGTCAAAAAGAATGAGAGAACAATTAAGGTCTTTGCTGACCTTCCATCTCCTTTATTGTACAATCACTTACACAACTAATTGTTTCAACAAGCGTAGTTCTACTCCATTGCTCATATGAATGACCGCTTAAATTTTGGACTTTTTTTAAGCTTGAGAAAATGTTTTAATTTAACTTGTCAAAAAATATATATTTCCAGTCATATTCTGGACAGCATTACAAACAGTTATTTCCTTTACTTTTAACAACGCTCATTTACAACATACAACATCAAATTACAGTGAATACACCTTACTGATATTTCTAAGGATTAATTTAAAGTTAAAACATGAGTAGCTCTTCTGTGTTGATAACTAAAGACAGACAAAGTAAATCTGATTATAGGTCTCCTCATGCTTTTAAACGCTGGGAGCTTCAGAGGAGCATTTACCACCACCAGGAGAATGACCAGCTGTTGTCCAGTTCCCACAGCAGTGATGAGGAGGGTTTCACTGCCCGAATACACAACACACACACATTTCAGCACCATTACAGGAAAATTCTCAGATCTTGAAGGTGTTGAAACCTATTTTACCCACCAGCTCCTACAGCTGAATCACTGTCAGCATTGGTTCGAGAGGGTTACATCTTATTAATGCCAATTACTTAGTCCAGACAGACCTTCAAGTGCAGGATCTACAGCAGTAACTCGAGTCACTGTACTGTCAGTGGCACACATCATTGTATTACATAGAATTTATAGCCTGAGACAAGCATGTGCATATGGAGATCCTGCCTTAGTAGTTTCCCACCTCATCTCTTCATCAGTCACCAATAACCACACTTTTGTAATACATTATCACAGCCCCCTTTTTATTTACACTGTCCCATCTCTACCTTCTACAGCACATCAAGAAATGCTGTGTTAAAGTATGACACTGAGGAAAAAAGGTTATGTAGGATCTAATTATAGTTTTTATTGGTAATCACAAATGATTTACTATTTCAACATAAAAATCTTCAACAAAAAGCAGAAAGTTATAGTATCATAGCTGTTCTATGGCAGTAATTTAATTTACATTACTGTGACTATTCACTCAAGTGACTAAGCAAAAAAAAACTATTTTTGAAACTAGAGTCTGTAAGAGAACACCATTAGATATTGAAATTTTTCTCAGATTATATATTTTGAGATTTGTTAATATACTACTTTTTTTCCCCCCTAGGAAGCACAGCTTACGGACAGCATGTCATACTACAAGCATGCAAATCCTACCCTCGGCAACTGGCTACACCTTTAAGTGACTAAGCAAAAAAAAACTATTTTTGAAACTAGAGTCTGTAAGAGAACACCATTAGATATTGAAATTTTTCTCAGATTATATATTTTGAGATTTGTTAATATACTACTTTTTTTCCCCCCTAGGAAGCACAGCTTACGGACAGCATGTCATACTACAAGCATGCAAATCCTACCCTCGGCAACTGGCTACACCTTTCTTTCCAGAGGCTGGGCAGGTGCTTTTAAACAACACAAAACAGTTTTGGTCATACTGACTTCTTGTATTCACCTTCAACACATACCCACTATGTCTTCAAAGATAATTCAGCCAGTAAAAATATGACTTCAACTACTATTTCCTTAATGGAACAATATCTGAAAATCTGGAGAGTTTTGTATTGGCTTAATTAGATCCATTAGACATGTGCCTTGGTACCCAGAACAGGAAAACAGACTTAAATTCATTATCTCTTCTGAGAAATAAAGCCTGACAAGCATGCAATACTAGTGAGAAACAACAATTGGTAAAACCCACTGGGAGAAAAGAACACACTTCATTTCCAGCAATAAAACATTACTTGTCAACCATTATGGAAGAGCTCCAAGAGCTGTCCATGCCAGCATGTGTAGGCATTTTCTCCAGCTGACCCTCAAAATTGAAGGCTGCTGCCAGCCTGTAGCACAAAGAAATCACAAGCTCAGAGAAACAAACAATTCAGTGCCATGTACAGTGTTAATGAACTTGCCTCTTCAGGTTTTTGGGAAGTGGGGGTGAGAGACTATTCCTGTATCACAACCCTTGTAATTTGGATGCT